ATGATTCTGCTCTGTGCTTGCACTGTCTTCTTAATCATCTCTGAGATTCTGACTTTTGCCCTCTTGCATCTCTTTTTTCTCCATATTCATTAAAAACAACTTTTGATCTTCCTTTCATGGGGTTTCCCCCCAAATTCTGGGGGATTCTTGACTGTTCTGGCCCTTTTCACTGTTTCTGGTGCCACCTTCCAACCCTAATTTAGGTTTGTTTCATAAGTAACCAGGAAAATGGAGGGAAAGCAAAGACGGAGTAACTAGGAAGGCCGGCTGGAATCTCATCTTTCTACTTTCTGTATATTATGGGTGTTTTCATTTTTATTAGTTTTAAAAATAAGCAGATGACAAATGGGTTTCAGATGGCACACACTGTTAGTTTTTGATGAGCCTTCTCCCACTCCCCCACTTTTCCTCCTACCCCGAACTCTTATTGGCACATATCCTGTGACCCTCCTTCTTCACCTGCCGCATCCCCCAGCAACATTTCTTTGTCGCCGATCACAGTCCCTTTTCTAGTTTCATGTACACAGATGCACGCATCACAGACATACACACACACACGACATAGATGCACACGCAGACACACATCACACACATAACACAGATCAGCCGGTTCCCGATATCTCAGCTGGGACATCCAATTGCCGCGCACGGCACCCCCGTGTCTGCGTTCTGTGCGTTGGACCCCAGTTTGTGAGCTTCGGGCAAGGGAACGGGAGGTTAAAAATACAAGGAAGAATATTTTCCTTGCTTCCTTCAGTTTCCTGGATTCCAGCAGACTGGAAGTCTACAAGGAAGAATATTTTCCTTGCTTCCTTCAGTTTCCTGGATTCCAGTAGACTGGAAGTCTACTTCATACACTCTCGTTATACCCGTCTGGTATCTTGTCATAATTCCTTCTCTCACTACTGCCTTCCTCAAACATCCTTCACGGACCCGTGTGACTATGATAAAGATACTTCAATAGCCCAGGATAACGCCCTCTCTCCGCTGATCTGAAAATGAGCACAGCTTGCGCTACATCAAAGTAGCACATTCATTCATAGGTTCTAGGCGTTAAGGCATGGACAGTTCCAGGAATCGTTATTCTGCCTAAACACAATCAGATGATAAATTTAATCTTTGGCTCATCAGATGCTAACATATCTATTAATACTTCAATATCCTACCACATGGTAAAATTTAATTCATTTTTAAAATATTTGTAGTCACATCTACCTAGTCCTGTGTAGCAAGAATTCTAATTGGTCTTAATAATAAAAACCCATAGTCAGATATAGGAGCCGCCAGCCAGTTCTTACCTTTACTGAATCCTCGAACCAAAGGAGCAATCCTGTCCCTACAAATCCTCAGACTGAATGTAATGCGCTCCTGTCTCCTTCTACTTCACATTCCTCTCTCTGCCCAGCCATATCCCTTCCTGTCTCCACCTCCTTAATGTTGGAATTAGAGGTGTGTGTCACCACTACTGGCTCTGTTTCTCTTTTTAGATGGCTCTTGTAGCCCAGGGTTGCCTTGAACTCACAGAGATCAGTCTGCTTCTGCCTCCCTCTGCTGGGGCTAAAGGTGTGTACCATGACTACCTGGCCTCTATGGCTAACTGGTGGCTAGTTCTGCACTCTGATCTTCAGACAAGCTTTATTTGTTAGATCACATACAAAATATCACCACAGTCCTGCACCACTTCTTTGGTCAAATCTCACACTTGGTTTCTACTTTTTCCTCGTCTGGATACAAGACCTCTTGTGTTACATGGTAATGCCGAGGCTATTACCTCTTCCCTCATTACCACTTACATGGGAACCCTCTTCCTATGTGAACGAGGGACATCACAGCTACTCAGGCAGGGCACCGTGACCAGGTGGGGCATGAGTTGTAAAGGTCTGCATGAGTAAGAGAGAATTAAAACTTATAGCTTTGTTTCCAAATTAAGTCCCCGCTGCTGATCTTTGCAAGACTGTATCCAGTTCACACATGTTGGTTTCCTGTTTCCATTCTGAGATTCCATTAGAATAGCCAAATCGTGGGATCAGGTGGAGTAAGTACAATGATTTTTGCTTGCGTGAACTATTTTATCATCACTGGGAATCCTGAATCAGGCTCCCCCTTGTAAATGTAACAAATAAAAATGAACCGAGAGGTTTTCCCCTGTGTTTTTGCTAAGCACTGCTCCATTGATGGTTAGAGTTTTAGTCTCCCCTTCTTTGTTACTCCTTGAGGCTTTGGGGTGAGAATGTCAGAGTTTCCAAACCATGACACCCATTCATCTCTTCTTTCATTATTCCGAATGGCTAGACCCCCAAGTTTAGAGTTGGGTGCATGGACTACACCTAAGGAAAACAGCCATGTTTTCCAGTGTTCCCTGCACAGGACTGTGTGCTTAGGACTAAAGTTCATAGGGAAGGAATGTTAGTGTGAAAAATGGGCCAGAAGGAGACCCTCGTGCTTGGGACATAGACGCCGTGCTTCCCCATTTATTCCACCTCTGACCTTAGATAGGAAAGAAATCCCCCTCTCATTTAAGTAGCTGTTAATTCAGGATTCACAAATGCAATCCCACCTCAAACGTCACAGAAAAACAGCTCCAAACCTGCAGGTCTCGAGCTAAGCGGAGGGACCAGTGTATCCTTCCAAGAATCAGAACAAGAGAACACATTTGCATTGATAACCAAAGACCTTTATTCCTGTCTTTAATTTCGTACAATCACATTGGAAAAATAGTTGTGTCTACAAATGTACTTTCAGCAAAGGAAGCCAACAAGATGAAATATTGCGAGTGACTATGTGCAAAGTATTCGTGAAGTCAATGACTCCATTCAGCTTCTAATTTACATTTCCGTAAGCCAAGACGAAAGGGGAAACATCAGATCTGACGCTGGGCTTTTCTTAATTGTAGCCTTTAGGGATATAAATTCTGGTCAGAGAACTTAATCCTTTAGAGATGGAGGACCTATCACTGCAGAAATGCAGTTCTGAAAGTCCTTCTTATGGTCTCTGGTTTTTATCCTTCTTTTTGTTATTCCCCTTAGATATTTTGCTTTATTTTCCACAGCAGCCTATCTGTTTAACATTCCGACTTAGTCACACTGATGATCTGTTCTGCGCTTTTGAATGGTTAACTACTTGCTATAAATAAACACATCAATTTTCCTCTATTGCTACCCTTGCAGAAAGCTTCAAATAATTGCAATGAATCTAGAGTCCACTTATCATTAAATATATTTTCCTTTAAAGAATATATAGCATATGAAATTACAAGCCTTTCGTGAGCTAAGGATGAATTTTAGAATGCTCAAATAATATTTACAATGTAAACATCACAGTTATTACATAAAGGAAATCACAATATTCACAACACACTTTATTTGGTTTTGCTATGGAAGTTGTTCTCTTGAATTAGATATGTAGAACTCATAATGTAGTCACTTGGTTGTTTTCCTTCAAGAATTCTGGAATGAGAAAAGAATTAGAGCTTTAAACACAAACAATTTTAAAATTTGGCTCATGTTAGCTTTACTCGCTCAGTTACTAAACCTCAATGTCTCCTTGCCCCTTGTCAACGGCCTCTGCTGAGACCGTACCTGACAGAGCCAAGTAAGACTTATTCCTAGAACACTGACTGTCACGAAGGTACTAGGGGGTGAATAGGCTCTCTACTTAACCATTGATAAGGAAGCATTTGTAATTTTCACAAGGGAACTGCTTGTAGGAGAGCCTACGGTGCTTGTTTAAAACCACCCCTCCGTGATCTCAGTGGTCTCTCATAAATGGCCTTACAGTCTATAATGGAATCTGCCCTTATATTTTGGTGTCTGCCATGTTCTTTATTTGTAATACTCACTGTATAAAGCAATGTTATATCTTTTGGTGTTGGGCGTGGAACCCAAGGCTTTTGTGCAGGCGAGACAAATGCTCTACCACCAAGTGAGACCCTTAGCCTGGCTTTTACCCTTGAGCTAAGGATGGGTCGTTGGGACTGTCTATATATGATATTGTTGTTACGGCCAGCTCCTGACCCCTTTAGCCCAAACACAGGGATAGCTATTTCCCCAAACTTAGCCAAGGCTGGAATCATGTCTACCTTCAGAGTCTACAAATCAGGTTCTACAGGGGCTAGCCACTCCCAACTGTTTTGTATCTTTTCTTGATTAATTCCATGCTAAAGAGTTGTAACAGAAACCAGATAGCCCACAGAACTGTGACCATCTCTCCACAGTCCATTAAGGAAAAGTGGACTGATTTTTGACAAAGTGATAAAACATACTTTTGTCACTTGTCAAATATTGTGAGCAGAATCAGATGAAACACCGAGATTAGTGTTCCCGGAGTAGCTTGTAAAAGAATACACCTTGTATCCACATTTATATAAAAGCAATTGTGAAAACAGTCTATATCTCTTTGCAGAAGAGAAAAAGAGCACATTTTTTTTTCTATTCAAAACTATTCCACAACGAACACTGCTGGGGCTATAGTGCCTCTACTCACTTCATGGATCGAGCTTTGGCCTTCGTTCCATGATGGCTGCTATGTTCATAGCACTGTAATTAATCCCAGAATGCCTTGGCATTTCCAGAGTGAGCTTCTGGGTTATCTTAACTGAAGGTCTAACAGGCAGTCTTGGGACTAACTCTTAAATGAATAGAAGCAGCATGAATTGAGTCTCCAGACTAAGACAGTATCCCTCATGAGTGTGAGTCAGGATCCTGTGTGTTTTAATTCCAGCACACACATGGGAGAAAAGGGAAAAGCCAAACTCCTTATGGTGACAGGTGCCCTTGTCATAATGAGAACAGAGCTGGTGTGCACTGGGGTGCAATAGGCCTCAGGTAGAGGTGTTATGCAGAGTAGATAATATCTCCAGATAGAGGGAAATTTAGACCTAGGATATTTTTGTCGACTGGCTCCTTCCTGAGTCTGTTCTTCACAGTAGCTGTGAGCCTACAGTAAGAAACCGTAGGTGCACTTACCTCTGATCTTCAGCTCTCCCCAAAGGAGCCTCTTCATCATTTTTCTAGCTCTTCAGGGAAGTCTGGAGAACCTCCCTCACTGCTGCAGACCAGAAGGAAAATGCATGTGTTAAAATTCTCAGCTGAGGAAAGTTCCAAAGAAACAATTATAACACCATGACTAGGTCATTATCTATGCCCTGCAAGATGCACTGGTGGTAAACAATGATCTCTGCAGATAGTGATTGCCTGTGAATTGTCTAAAATCAGTCTTATGGAATTATCACTTAGTGGGCCAAGAGGATACTCTTGTCTGATTTCACTCGAACAGAATTATGTTTAAGGCTCACTGTTCATACAAAGATACCAGAGTGAGAAGAGAGAGCACGCTACCCCTTATCACTGTGCCCAATATCTGTACACTATAGGGACAGGTGCTTTTTGAACAAACACACAGATGACTCACAATTAAATGTGGTAAAGCGAGGTTGTCGGATACAAATATGATACGGTTCTCCTGCTTGCCAAAAATTGCTGATTGTCCTGCCCATGTTTTAAAAATAAACACCTGATTAAACTGCTGCCTGATTCCAAATAGCCATCATTTCCCAACCGTGTTGATGTGTAAATTCAAATGAAGTAACCTTTGAAGGCAGGTGTGTCCAGGTCAGCATTCACAGACATACTGCTTTCTAATGGCTTTGGACTGACATTCGTGTCCTAGTATTTTAACGTTTGCCAGGGATGTCTGATATCAGCCTGAGTTGAGAATGGGTGAGCAGTTCACACAAGGCAGGCAGTGTGACGGAGAAGGAAAGAGGTCCCCAGACAGAGCTGACAATCTGAATGTCCATTACACATTCTCACTTCCCCAGGTAGCTCTCTTTTCCCTTACCTCCTCTTTCCATTCAGAATGGAGTTCAAGTATTTCTTTACTGCCATTTGTTTCCTGAGGCGGGTGTAGTTATCCGTGAAGACTGCATCCGAGTGCCGTTTGATTGGCACAGGGTCTTCTGAGATGTTACTGCTAAAAACGAAGTGAGGAAAAAGTGAAAGTCAAGATGTCAATAGTAAGGAGGAGATGCATCAGTGCTCTGGACTTTTTCTCCTACTGAGTTTGGCACAGTTTGACTAGTTTTAAATTAGCTGCTTAAGAAAGATGTGTTGAGTCATTAAGTACCAAAGCTTTATTTCACTGGGGGGGTAGGGGAATTGGTGGGTTTTATTTAATAGCATGCATTATTTTTCTCTAAATAAATTGAACATTATCAAAGGGTTGCCAATCTTGAGCAATGAAAATAACATTCAAGAAAGGAAAATAGAATTTGGAGATAGAGCATTTATTTAAAAAAAAAATAGTAAGTCCTCTTTACCTGATTCGTTTTCCAATGAGTGACTCAAGGTATTTTTTGGCAGAGATCTGACCCAGAAGTCTACTGTAGTCGCTGGTGAAAACTCCATCAGCATGCCTGGTGTTTCTGAAGCAAGGAAGCAAACACATGATGGCTTGGGAAAACCTCTTGCAGAGGTCACCAAAAAAAAAAAAAAAATCTGCAAGCTACTTACAGAACTGGTCACTAAAACTTCAGTCAAAAGTGAAGTCTCCTAACACCATAGCAAAAGGAAATTCCTAGTCACTTGAAGCAAGATATAAACTAGATGATTCTAGCCCAACATCTTGAAAAAGTGAGCTATTTTAGGTACATGCTTCATTTTTATTCCCTGACAAGATATTTAAAACGGATTTTTAAATAAATTTTGCTTTAAAAATTCAGTTATAGTTTCTATATATTTATGTATTTTTTAATGTTGCCTTAAATAAAAATACATACAATGAAAAAATATGTTAATTTGGTCAAACTCACCAGTATTCTGTATTTTAATTATTCTTTTCCACCAAAAATAATGGGGAGCAAATCTCTTGCGATAGAGCAGACAGACCTTAGGTCCACGAGTGAATCCCATAAGCCCACGGGAAACCTCTTTTATACTTTATCCTTAGTGTGACGCCATTTGGTCTGTTCTGAAGCACGACTCTAGACAGTCAGCTGCTCATGTGAACAGCACTGTTGGCTGTCTGGACCCTTTGCTCCTGTTTCCTCCTGGAATCCTGACTGGCAGTTTGACCTGGCGTTTGTCTAACCTGAGCTGTTGAAGTGAGGCTCAAAGGCTGCAGGGAACTTACGTCAATCAAGCTGAGCCTTGAGTCAGAGAAAGCTATCCCTCGGTAAGATGAAACTAGGATATTTAATCTTTTCAAATGTGCTTCCTCGGTAGATAAATGAGAGAGAACTTACCTGGATACATCATAATAGGGTGTGTCGTTTTCCGCTAAGGCATTCTGCAAGATGTCAGTGTCTGCTTTTAATGAGACTTGATCAGGATCACTTGCTCCTTCAAACTGCATCCTGTCATCCAACCTATTAAGATAAAACACACTAGAAATGCAATCCTGTCCTCTCGTAGAAGACGGTATTTGTGGACCTGCAACTATTTAGAGCAGGAGAAAAAGATATTGGGACACATCATCCTTCTGCAAGACAAGAATAGAATAATTTGACTCTATAGCTTCCATGTTTAATGAAGATATAAGCAGTAATTTTGTGTGAGCTCACCGAAATGAAATCATTCAACTTTGATAAGCTTTCTAAACCAAACATAATTTCTACATAATTCAATTCTAGCGAAGCCGTAAGCAAAGCGCATTGCTTCGGTGTACCTGACTATGTCCTTTTGTGATGCAGCATTAACAGGTAGGATGTGTTATACAAGATATAGATAAACAAAAAGCGAGTATTCAATATGAAAACTGATATTTATGTGAGTGTTGCTGACTGCTCATATTCAGGAGAGGAGCAGCACACAAGCTGCTTTTCTCTCTCTAGTTCCCGGATGTGTACCACTAAGCTTTATGCCATTGATCAAACCAACAGATCTCCACATTTGTGAGTGGTTATTACAAGACAGTGAATTTAATGTGACCCGCCAGTTCCTCATATTGCACGTGTTAGCACATTCTTGTTAGAAATGCATTATGCTGTACTACAACATAAGAATTGTCTTTATGACATATAGAATATAACCTACTTGTGGATGCATGTGTATTTTTAATATCAGTGCTACATTGAAAGTGTGTGTGAGAGAGAGAATGTGAGTGTGTGTGTGTGTGTGTGTGTGTGGAGGGTGTGCGTGTGAGCATGAGTGTGTGTGAGTGTGAGGGCGTGTATGTGCAAAATTAGGGTTAACCTCCAAAGAGTTTCCTCTCATGGGCACTTTGTATCTCTGGGTGTTGAGAAGCAGTCCTCCCTAGCCTGGGGCTGAGCAGTCAGCGTGGATTTCAGCATTCCTGTGATTGTTCCTGTGACCTAGATGTGAGTACTGGGACTCTAGCTGTCAACGCATGATGGGGTGACGTGTTATACAATTTCCAGATCAATAGCTGAGAGATTATTCATTCTACTGAGCATAAGAAAGGACAAATAACCAAAGGGATGGTTTGCCTTTAGATGCCAGTGATTCTGCAGATTAGAAAGGGCAAGGGTGAGTAGATTATTAGCATAAATCTATTCTACTTTAGGTTAAATTGAGTTGTGGTATGCTTTACGACTGTGAAGCATGAACTTCAACACATCGAAGAGTAAAGCTAAGAACTGGTGTGTCAAACACCAATGCTGTGAGGATTGTAGCTTAGTACATACACTTCCTCATCCTCACTAATATTGGCAAGGTGATTTTTTCCTAGACCCATTTCTGCCCAGTACGATTTCATGTGTGTATCTCACTAATGAACTATTAATATTATAGTCATTTTATTAAATGTAAATTTAAATGAAGTTGGCAAGTAAACAAATATTTTTTCTACCAGATAAAGAACTGACTGGAGATGGAAAAACATAGGATTTTGTTTGTTTTCTAACACTAGTTTGGAAATGGGACCCATCTGGTATGCAAAACTGATGTTGTCTTTCATGTCCAGAAGGTAAATTCTGGATCCCAGAACAAGCTTTCCGAGTTTGGTTGGAAACAAATTTGCTTAGTATTATAATCAAAGTATTGAAATAAATAGTGTACAATTTAAAATGCAGCACTCTCCGAGATGTCATATGGGAAATCTCATTTAGATCCTCAGGAAATGCCTGAGTTGAGAGTGTACTTTCCTGGAATGAAACTTACCTCCCAGCAGAAGGTGGTCCAAAGAGAGGCCAGGCCAGGGACCGAGAAGACAGCACACTGAAGAGCATCAGGAGCGCCAAGAACTGGGGCTTGCTTCTGGCTTCCATCTCGGTGCCTCTGGAAAGAGAGAAGGTGCTGGCTCTTCCAGTCACTCTTGGCAACATTCTGAGGGCCTAGCAATACTGCTAAGAGCTCTTATGAAGTTGAGAAAAAGTCATTTCCTCTTCATAAAAATATCAAATTTGTTGCCATAAGATTACTTTTAAAAATAAAGATTTTCCTTGGGTTAAGACATCTGAATACAAGCGAATTTCCCTTTTGTCTTTCCCTCAGCAGACACTCAGGCACCGTTAGTGCTTGTTCAAGACTACACTCCTGCTGTGCTGCAGATAAACTAACTCCAGACTCAGTGTTTGGATAGCACAGTTGTAATATCCAACCTCCGTGTCTTTTCTGGTGAAGGAAACAGCTTCAAGGAATTTGTTGGTGTTTTTCCCCTTTAAACTTCAATGTCTGATTGCTATAAAACTGGAGTGTTACCGGTGCACTTAATGATTTCTAGTGAGTTATATTCACAAGTTTGAATGTTTATGTGTACATATAGAATAAAAAGTATAGCTCTGCATCATTAAGAAAAATCTTGTATACATATGATAGTTAAATTCTTATTTTCCCTGCATGCATTAAAGATATCACTGCAAATCCACAAATGAACTCAAGAATGAAAGCTGATGTCTCCAGAGTCACTCAGCATTGTTACAAGTTTTCCCAGAACATCAGTGTGTGTGTGTGTGTGTGTGTGTGTGTGTGTGTGTGCGCGCGCGCGCAGAACCCATGCGTCTTGCATTCGTCCATACACACATTGTATTTCTAAAAGCTTTCCAGCATAAATACAGGTGTTCAAAGATTTTGTCTCTGGATAACTAAAAGTCACAGCATTTAAAGAAAAGCACTTTAAGCAGAAGTTAAAAGCCTCAAAAATAAAGGCAGCAACTGGACCCTTTGGTCAAAACTCCACATACAAGCAAACTCATCTTACTTCGCTTTTTAAGATGCAATATTTAATAAAGGCAATATTTAAGGAAGACTAAGAATCTTCTAAACAGATGGGTTCATATGAGAGAAATTGAAGCATCTCTACCTTTATCAAGTGGCTTATTGTTATTATTTTATTTCGTTATTGCAAAAGATAAACACAGTAAAATTCTTCTTAAGACAGAAAATTTAAAAAAGAAAGAAAAACCTCTCCTATACAAAGTCCCACAGGCAGATAGGAAGTGAAGAAGGGAAGGTTTTACTTACCCTTGGCTGTTTCCTTGAGGCTGGGCTGCTTTCAGGGAGAGTAGGAGCTGTCTAGGGTGCTGAAAGTCCTGGCCGGGAGAAGGCTCCACCAGTCTGTCCTGGTCCTGGGGAATGGATGGCTGTTGCCTGCTAGAGCTCTGCACTCCAACCTGACCAGCATTTCAAAGTCCCTCGTTTTATAAGGCTTGTGCTTGGGGCTGAGCAATCAGAAGGCTGCCCGAAAGACGTCACAGTGGTGATCCCATGGGATGAACAGGTCTTGAAGTTCTTATTAAATTGTCATCATGCCTGATTTATATACATTTATAGCAAACAAGTTCAAGATAGAGGAAATGTACTGTTTGAAACAAAAACAAAAATTAAAACTAAAAAGTGCCAAGCTGGATATGCAATACTTTATTCTTTGTTTAGTTGTCATGAATTAGAGCATGATTATAATGTCGTCGCTCAGGGACTAAGGCATTGCTTAGAAAATGAAAACTTCTTGTAAAAAGATGCAGAAAACAAACGCTTGTGTGTGTTATGCTTACAGTATAATTCTTCTTGTTCCATGAAGTGTCAATTCCCTTAATACCTTTTTATCTTTATGCTCTTTATTCAGATCAGAATTATCATTTTATTGAAACATATCTTAATTTTAAAAGCAACCATCAATGATTTTGCATCTTTCTGCTATTACATTTTCTTTATGTTGAAGCTAGTCCTCAGGGAAAGTTCCTTAAGTCATAAAGATGATATAGTATGGACACCATTTCTTAAGCAATGACTTTATCACTCTTCCATATTGTAATTCCCACTACTTCCCTTCACATCTTATAGTAAAGGTTTCAGAAATAAATGATGATCAGACTATACACTCCAGGGGTTGAATTTCTCTTTCTCTTCAAAAGCATGCTCCTCATTTTATGTCTTTGCATAGTGTTGAATCTCTTCGTTTCCTACACTGCCTTCAAAACTCACCCCTACTTCAGAATTTTGACATTCCTGACTCAATCACTTTTCATAAAGGTGGTTTCAAATATCAGTTGGTTTGAAATTTTTGTAGAGTACTGTGATGAATGCTTAATTTTTGCTGTTGATTTTGCACCCAAAGAAGTCGGACATACATTTTAATTGGGACATAACGTCAAAACGCAGAGTGTCACAGAAAACAAAGACGAAGTTCTTTCTTTTAAAAGCCCTGATGTGCGCATGCTGTTACATTCCTTTTGCATTCTCCTCAGGGAGACGTAGCTCTCAATCTCCTTTACTCTCTTCTACTCGAAGATCTTAGTATCTCCTTGCTGCCCTCAAGGGCAACTGATGCAGTGAGAGTTGTCTTGCTGGGGCTTAATCATATTTTCTAATCCAGTTACAAGAAAAATTAAATGAATTAAATTTCAAAATGTCTGGAATTTTGTTTTCCAGTTGACAGCTCTGACTTAAGCCAGAGTTCCTGTGGCTTAATTCCAGGAAATCTTTTGTTTTTTTTTTTTTTTAACCAGTTGTTACAAACTAGAGGTTAAAATGGTTTTCATATGGAATTTTTTATTCTGAGCTCATTGTCACCAAATCCTCAGTGAAACAATTTCATTTTAAAGCTGCACTGGAAAAACATAAATAGATTAAGGATTACAGAGGAATCGATCCTGAATGATAAGCCAAAAAAAAAAAAAAAATGACATCAGGATCGCTTAGCACTCGGTCTAAGAAGCAGTCATGAGGAGTAACTGTGATATATCTGTGCAATAATAAAGACAGTTTCTGCCATCATCATAATGAAACAAGATAATAAAGAGAATTTGTTTTCTTACCTATGGAGGAAAATAGACCAAATCACAGAATTAGCTGAATTTACACAGGACCTAAAGCCATTTTAAATGGAACCACAGCACCATCTGCAGTTTGAAGTCTTAACGCACAGATTTTATGAAACCGTGTTCCTTTCTGGTTTGTTTTCTTTTGTTTAAGGGCATGGGGAGAAAACCAGAGCTCCACTGCTCAACTAATGGAAAGACTGTTTCACTTATGTTAACCATAAGGAAAATGGCTATATTGAATTTGTCATGAAGGATTTGTTATTATAAAACCCAAGGGAGGGGAGGGGGGAAACAAATGTACTGTTTAACTCTGCCTCATCTTTACTTTTGAGTGATTTCTTTCCCCCACAGCCTCGCCATAGCATCCCCATTTTAGCATTCTCAGAAAATCTGTATTTGCTATCTAGAAAGCTCTCATTTGTCTGCACAGTGAAGGCAATCTATTCCTTTTACAGACGAATAAGCTGATGCCTGCAGTAGTTTCTTATTTCACTCCTGTATTTAGTAATGACCATGGGACTGGGATCCAGGCTCTGCATTCTTGAAGGTGTGTCTGTGTCTCTGACACCTGTGGCTCTGCAGTTTGCCTACACTCAACTCCAGTTCTGAGACCTTAAAAATTTGTCAACGTAGGCAGTCAGAGGGGTGACGCCTACATCTAGGGTCAAATAGACTCACCTCTTTGCTTGTTATATCTCTTAAGTTGAGAGTGGCATTAACATCTTTAAAAGATCAAAAACATGAAGTATTTTGGACATGTAAAAATTATATTTAAATGTCCATGCTCCTGTGTTGTTGACTGGAACATGGACATGCTTGTCACATGTATGTATGCTGTGATTGCTTTGGAACTACAACATCTGAAATCCCCAAATCCTAATGTCTCCTCTGATCTTTCATGAAATAAAGGTTCTCTTGACTGGATAGATGACTCAGTGGTAAAAAGCACTGGCTGCTCTTCTATGGGATCCAGGTTCAGTTCTCAGTACCTACATGGCAGCTCACAACCTTCTGTGACTCCAGCCCCAGGAGACCCAATACCCTCTTCTGGCCCCTATACACATTGTATGCATTTGACACATAGACCTACACTTAAAATAAAAATAAGTAAGCATTTTTAAAAGTTGCTTACCAACCTCTAGTTTAGAACTTCCTGTTTAAAAAATTTATAAACTATATCTTAATATCTATCACTACAGATTAAATAATTATATTGTAATATAACTTAAAAGTATGGTACATAATATCTGTATATGTATAATATTTAATATAACATGTTAAAAGGAATATAAAATACACATTGAAAGTATACTTTATATGATAACAATAAAGAACATGTACCTATACTTGTAATCCCCCTTCTTTTTTATTGTATCATTGTTTTGACACATATGTGTGTTAATGCTTTGACATGTGTATATGCTGTGTGACCTTAAAGTCAGGGCAAGCCCACTGTCTTAAGTATTTATTATTTTTTTTATAATGAACATATTCAAAGCAATTTATTTTTGATATATTCTGCTTGTCATTTTCAGAAACATGAATGAAACTGTAGGCTATTATGTTGAGTGAATCAAGCCAGGCACACAAGACAGGAGCCGTGTGATCTCACGCATATGAGAGACCTGAGAGTGGATGTCATGGAAGTTAGTAAGAACAATTACCAGAGGATTAGGGAAGGCACACACACACACACACACACACACACACACGTACGTATGTACGTAATGGTGAGAAAAGGTTGGCCACTGGGTATTAAGACACAATTAAGAAGCCCTGGATTTAGAGAGATTTAACTGAAGAGGGAACCCCAACCCTGAATGTGGGCAGCACCATCCCATGGTCTAGGTATGGTCCTGGGATGAATAACAAAGGAGAATGAGATGGGCAGTGGCACTTATCTCTCTGCTTACTGACTGCGGGTGAAATGTGCCCTGTCATGCTTCCCTGCCATGACGGAGGCGAGTCAGAGTAAACCTTAAGTTGTCTCTTGGTAAGTATTTGATTACAGAGATGAGAAAGGTAACTAACTCAGTTAATTTTAGGCAACTGGACAAATGGTGACTTCGGGGACATGATAGAGAGTGACCTCTCCCTTGATTCTGAAACATCATGACCTCTCCTACTCACACAGCTGGGGACGCTACAAAGATTATTCATTTTCCAGCCCCCTGGCTTAAAATACTTGTGCATGTCTGTGGCACGAGTTCTGTGAGTTGTTCATACATTGTTAAAGTTGTTTATTGGGAGCATCACAGAAAATAGATTTGAGAAAGGGGGAAGTTGTAGAGGAAGCACAGCCTCATGAAGTTCAGAGATGCTGGGGTGGGGGACAAACAAAGAATAGTTTAATTAAAAATAACTTGATTACCTTCATAGTGTCACTGGTTATAAATGTCCTCCTTCTCACTGCCCACATCCTGAGGAGCCAGTCTTTAACTCAGTGGTCTCCTAGACTCCCTAATGGAGAAAATGGGAAACGATTTCTAAAGGTTGGTTTGAAGCTGCTGCTGCAGTCTTCTTGGTAAAGTGGATAATTGCACAAGAATATCTGCTGGAAGTATTCTCGTGTACTCCCATTCTGTACAAAATAAAGTAGCGGTGCTGCACCTCTACGCTCTATGTGGGAATTGTCAGTCAGGGTGAGGACTAGACGGTAGACACTACTACACTCAGAGCTGAACAGTAGGGGGCAGCATTCCATAAGACACAGCAAACAGTAATAGGCAGGAAATAAACAGATCACGGAATGACAGAACGTTAAGTCTGAAAATGATTGCATTTGTACATCGGTAACTAGGATTACATTTTCTGTAGAAACAGAAATCCGAGCAAATGCTTTGGTACTACAAGAGTTGTGAATATTTATCTTGCTACTCTGTAGCAGCTAGGGGGAGTTTTCCAGAACTCTATTACACATAATATCAAAACCAGCTTAAAGGACACAGAAACCTGGTTACAGAGCTGTGTACTGGAGTGAAGATTGCTGGCAAAATGGAGATTGCCTCCCCCCCATGTTGTTGACAGCCATGTGTCCTGGTCCTTCTTTGTCACTTCCACCCCATCCCCAGTATTGACATCACAGTCTTCCTTAGACAAATCTTCAAACCCTTCTGCATAGAAGCATGGAGAAGGGTCATTTAAGCTCCTAGCAAGCTGTCAGATTGATGAGAAATCGATTTTTGAAGACTGTGGTTGAAACATAAATAGATTTGAAGCCAATCCTGGCCTTTGATGTCACCCAGGTTCCTTCAGGAAAGGAGGCTGAATTCACACATGTCCAGAGGAAAGGTCAGTATGCTGGTGGAGTCCCCCACATCAGATCATTACTGGGGAACTTGCCAGGCATGGGACAGCTCCAGGGAAGGAGACCCAGTGTGCACATTTCCCCAGCTCCTGGCAATAGCTTTCAGGAACGAAACAGAATATCTAGGAAACAGGAGCTGTTGGTTGTTTGATCAGCTTATTTGCTTCTTAATCCCAATTCTAATATTCTGTATCTGTATCTGAATCACTTCATGGCATTTCT